GTGTGAGAATGGCAGGATGCCGTGGAGAACAAACTGGAGGTCAAAGACTGGCCGTATCAGTCTGAATGTCCGTCTGCGTGGAACGGCTCGCGTGCTGTAAGGTAGGGCAGGAGAGACTGATTCACACAATTTAGTCACACTTAACAAAAAGCTTCTTACACCAATTAATAACCTTAATTTCCTTTAAGATACACCCGTAAATCAATATTGTACATTCAGTACAACAGCAGCTGTGGCATGCTTTCATGGCAGCTCATCCATCAGTTTGAAACAGTAAATCCCCAATGTTTCATTATAATTGTTATAAAAGTTCAGTGTCTCTCTCTTCATTCCTCTGGCTGTCAGCGTGGTGAGGTAAGACGAGGGGGAAGATCAGCCCTTTGGGTTGTTGGCTGTTTTTTATGAGTGCATTACACATTAAGTTTCATTTCTTTGTGTTGCTTTATTTATAATAACATGGGCCTACCTAAAGTTTAAAGGCTTCTCATTTCCCGCAGATGATCTAATTGCATGATGTGATGGATCATACTGTACCGTTCAAAGGTTTGGGGTCAGAAATATTGATCGATTGGTTGATTGAAAGAAATTAATACTGTTATTCTGGGCTTTTATTCAAATTGATCAAAAATGACAGAAAATACATTTATACTATTATAAAATAATTATATTTCAAATAAATGCTGATTTAATAATTTGAAATCACTTTCTTATATTATTTTGCCAATATAAGAATATTTATATAATATAATATAATATAATATCATATCATATAATATAATATAATATAATATACTATTTTTCAGATGCAGAGATTGTTTCCAGGTATTAATTGCTAAGCAGTTTTCTTTATTTTTTTATTGGTTTTAAAGAATTACACGTATAAACAAGGGTTGGTTTGTTTTTGTTTGTTTTGCATGAAATTAATATAAATTAGTAAATCAGGGTGTATCAAACTGATGAAAAGTGACGATAAAGACATAATGTTACAAAAGATTTCTGTCAAATAAATATTTTTTTAAAAACTTTCTATTCATCAAAACAATCCTTAAAAAAAACCTGTATCACGGTTGAAGCAGTCCAACTGTTTTCAACATTGATAATAATAATAGTTTATTTGATTTGATTTATAAGCAGCATATCAGAATGATTCTGAAGATCATGTGACACTGAAGACTGGAGTATTGATGCTGAAAATTCAGCTTTGATCACAGCAATAAATTGCATCTTAAAATATGTTCACACAGAAAACATCTGTTTTAAATTGTAGTAATATTTCACAGTATTACTGTTTTTAATGTTTTTTGATCAAATAAAATGCAGCAGTGGTGAGCAAAAGAGGCTTCTTTCAAAACATTACGATCCCAAGCTTGTGAACAGTAATGCGTGTGTGTGTGTATAAAGTATTGTCTCATGCACCCTGTGGTTGAACGTGTCGCTACATGGATGGGGTCTGTCTCCTGTCAGCGCGCGGCAGAAGCACAAGGGCAGTTCTCCGGACGACCTCAGGAGCGGCTCGCGGCTCATCCTCTTTGTTCTGGGTGGGGTCACCTACTCAGAAATGCGCTGTGCTTATGAAGTCACGCATGCCAATAAATCCTGTGAGGTCATTATTGGTAAGAGTCCCTACCGGTGCGAACCTGAAAAGATGCTTAAAATGCTGCATGTGTTCTGCAGTGGTTTAAATAATGCCTTTTTTGTTGTCTGTAGGCTCGACGCACATCCTGACTCCACGCAGTCTGCTGGAGGACATTTATAAGCTGGGCAAACAGCCCATGGAAAGCTTTACCATCGAGGAGGACAAACCCTGAGCGGCGCTGCACTGCCGTTCCTCCTCTCAGGACTGAAGGGAACAGGTCTCAACTGCTTTAGTCACCTCATACAGCATTATTTCACATTCACTTAAAAGCTTATCACGTGAAAATAACAAAGCAATGGTTCTACATGAAACATTTTGAGGTCGTTTCATTTCTAAAACTCAGTTGTGCTCAGTTTAGGCTATATATATATA